AAAACTCTTTACTTATCACTTATTGGATGTTGCCGATAATTCTTTGATTCTTAGGAGTTTCTGTACGGTCGTACGGGAGAAAGTGTACCAAGACTTGTTCAGTCTCTGATGTTTTTAAATCATGAACGTCCTTCAGATTCTGAGATTTCCTTTAAACTTGCTTTCCTTCTGCTCAGATAAAAGCCATCGTGCCAGCAAAAACAATAGTTAACTACTAGTTATTCTTATTTTTGAATAGAACGCTGCTCTCAACAATGGGAATTATTGTTTTACTAAAAATATGCTGTGCCTAAGTAACAAAACTTTTATGATAAAATTGTTTCCTGTTTCAACATATTACTTTTGATATGTTATTATTGTATTATATTATTATATTATACTTGTTAAATATGTAAATTCCTGTACCATTTAGGTTAACGTTGTAAACGTATTTGTACCTACAACATTCTATATTATTTATATATATTTATTATATTTTGGTCCTTCAAACTTCAACTCTTCAAATCTTCAAAACTGGCTTCTAAATTTGAATTAATATTTAAGTTTTCAATATTGGAGTAAGGTGCAAATAATTGGCAAATGCATAATTTATCCAATTTTCTACTACGAGCAGTAGCAAAGTAGCAAACTCAACTAAATTTTTACTGAAATTTTAGGAGCTGGTACGTATTGGCTTTATCCTTGATCATTTCGTAAGATTCTAATCCAGCGTAAAGATCGTCTTCAATAAATGCCTGCAATAAAGTACTTTGTTCTCCCTGCTGCTGAGTTGATAGTATGAAATGTTAAAATTTTCATAACTCAAATTCGTGTAAAAGGTCAGTCGGGATACCGATCATGATTATTAAGTTGCCATTGTAATTGTGACTTTGTAATGCGGCCTATTTAACGTCCCGCCTGTTGCATGTTATGCATAGTGCCTTTCTTTGTTCTTTGTGCTTTTAACTTTCCTTAATTTCGTTGGTGTTTTTGCCTGATGTTTTGGTTTATACCGACCTGCTCTTAATATTGTTCTAAGCAATAAACAATGTGCTTTCTTTACTTCGTCTTTGAGTTATGTCCAATTATATTCAACGTATTTATCAATTACTTATTTTAAATGAAATAATAATTTGCTTCCTTCTTCTAAAAATGCTTGAAAATTAAGTTACTAATGGTTAGTGGTAAATATAGAACATTGAAGGAAAACCAAATACAACATTTTATATTTGGTTTATTTTTTTAAACTATTATGTCCGTCCTACAGAGCTTGAGGAGAAAAAATATTTATTTAGCAAGTTATTTGTAAAATATGAGACATTAGTTAGATGAAAAACTCGACAGTTACAAAATAGATGTTGCTTTGGAACGGTGAAGTTAGTAAATAGTTGCTTGTTCTTGAAAAATTTTGCATCATCTAATTTTTGTACAAAAAATCGCGTCTGATCGATTTCTTTTAGTATGAGTATGCCGAACAAATTTATATCAAGTTTTCAAACTACACATTCTCCAAGTCTTTGTAAGTTCACGTTATATCTCTAACGTTGATTGAATTAATATTTTACTTTTTAGTCAACTACCGGCAGCAGAACTACTAAATAACGTCTCTGTTAGTTAAGTCACGTGCAAAACAGTATAAACTGAGCCAGGCAATATTGAAAGTGGTCTTGAATTATTAAAGCCTATTATACCATGGTGAAGAAGCGAGCGCAGGACAAGGAAAAGGGCATATTGATGGGGGCAGGTGTGCACAGGTGCATTCATTTCAAACTGTTTGATCCTGTTCACCCAACAAAATAGACTATTATGGCCATTCTTGTAGAAAAAAGATCTACCTGCTTCTTGTTCAGGGTGTTCGGCGACTGAAAGTTGGAAATGGAAAGTATATGTTAAATAAATTTTTGGCAATATCGGGATTCGTCGTTAAAATATTTTGCGCCAAATTTAAAGCCCAATAAGCATTGATAAATAGTATCAAGGCTTTGTGGCGATAAGCTATATAATCAAGCCGAAGAGGTCTCTTGATGTAAGTTTGGCGACTGATATTGCAAAACATTACTTGGCCCTAACATTGGCGTAAAGAGGACAACAATAAATTGCATACATTATATACCAAATTTCCATATAACTACTGCAGATTTTACCATAACTCACACAAAAAATTGCGTGGAATAATATCTGATTGTCGCAGCGACCTTCAGTCCACTTAAACTTGTGCATTTTTCGTTTATACAATGCACTTTAATAGAAAATAAATATAATTGGTCAGTAACATTAAGTTCTCCTTCAGCATTCATAAACAAGCAGTTTTGTGCCATATAAAAAGAGGCTAAAGTAAATGAATAATACATAGTTATATATCCATAAGTCATCAATTTTTTTTATTAAAAAAAAAACACTTTAAATTAATATCTGAATGTACTATTTTTATAAAGATCTCAAATTATTTAAACAAAACAATTAAAAGTTAGGTCTAAAATGTAAATACTAAATCATTGAAACCTTATAGAAACTCTAACGGTTACAGCAGATTTAAATGGCAATAGTCCATGATTTTATGTTTATTAAAGACAAATTAATTCTCTAAAAACTTAATTAGACGATAAAAATTTATTGGCTTTCATAATTTGAATGGATGCATCTCCGAAAATTGGTATCCTGAGGGCTTTAAGTATTTCTCGTAATATATCATGTCTAACCTGTCCTCGAAAACTACATTTTTTTTTCTTTGGAACTAATTGGATACAATATAGCATCATTTGCTTTTTAGAGGTACATACAATCTCAAGGCACGAGGAGCTTTTTGCCTTTTCAGATTGTTCAACTAAAATAATGCAAGATTTAAGGATTGAACAACGTAGAATGGGACAAATTTCATGGGACTTCCAAATACTGGAAGCACTTGGAAGTATAGTAAAGTCGTGATCACACAAGATACTTGACACAACTATTTTGCAACAGATCGTCTCAATACAACACAGAAACTGATAAATTCCTCYTTTTTGATTCAGTTTTTCTGATTTTTGGTAAARCGAACTATTTTACTATTTGGTTCTCATCAAGTGAKAGGGTGATAAGGTGGGCGAATGGAACCTGTCAATTTTTCGAMTCGATAAAATCCTGATTTGATGATTGATGTAATTTGATTCTTTCCGAATACTGAGCTGTTGCCTGATACCTGTTACTTTTCAATATATAGCAGCGSTTTAGTAATAAAGTAGCAATTTTAGAATTTGCGCAGTGGAGTAATACTACTAAATATTTGTATATGTAATATTTATGCTTAGCTCGTATCGAAATTTTTTTATAAGATAGCATGGAAAGTAGTACATGTTCAAAGAAAACTATGAAGGGAGAAGAAGCTATTTTGTTCATAAAATAATAAAAATGTTACAAAACCAGATGTTTTCAAAAATCAGTCGGAAACAAGGTCAAAAAAACAATTTAAATGGTTTGGCTGAATATTATAAAGATGCATTCATCACCCCTTGCATGCATAAAGGAACAGATTCCGCGATATGGATAAAAATAAAATAAAAAACTACCCAATGCAATTCAGGTGGCTTATGGAAACTTTCTTGTATACAAAAGAACGAAATCGATCAAAGCATATTTGGAATTCTGTGGCATTTTTAGAACACTGTTGAGTTCTGGACATGGCATATGAAATATGTTCAAAATCTTGAAAATTTGGTTGAATTTAGTGTTATAATGTAAGCGAGAGTTTATGCCTGTCTTTCTTCTGCCATCTGAAATGTTTGGGTGATGTTTTCACCGGTTATAGAATCCACATGTATTTTGAGGGCGATACCCCTTTTGATCCCCCCTTCCTTTGCCAGGAATTGTCCCTTCCAGTGAGTCTCTCAAGACCATTTCTTCTGACCACATGACCAAAGAATTTAGCTATTTTTTCGCTTGCGGATTGATAAATCTCTTCTTAATTCTGAGCTGGTCCAGAAAGGATTGGTTGGTTCTTTTCTCATCCCATGACACTCTCAACATTCTGCGCCAACAAAATCCGTTTTTTTTAAAGTACAGCATTCTGATCCATATCTCATTATCTCCTCGCTGGGTCCGCCCTTGCCCGAGGAGATTGTGGTAGCAAGATTTATGAAAGCCTGGTCTCCATGTTGTTTATCCTTTTTACTTCAGGTCTGCAGGCCTAGTTCGTTGCTTGTTTCTTCGATTCTATTCTCCTGATGCAGCGATTAGAGTCGTATCATGGGCGTAGCGCAAGTTGCAGATTTCGATGCCGTAAATGGTGATTCCTCTTTGCCAGTCATCTAGCGCTTTCCTCATTATCTACTCGCCATAGATGTTAAAGAGTAATGAGCTTAATATACAACCCTGCCTGACTCCTTTACTCACTCTGAATGGATTGATTAGACCTCCTTCTACTCTGACGTATGCTGTGCTATTGTCGAATACATTTTGTATCAGCAATATTAATTGGTGAGGAGCGCCCATTTAAGTTAAACTCGTCCATGAATTTTGCCATCGCATGCAATCAAATGCTTTAAAGTAATCTATGAAGAATAAGAAGGTAGGCACATTGAATTCTCTCGAGTTTTCCATTAGTTGTCGGGGGTTTAGTATATCTGGTTCCGCGCCCTGGGACAAATTCGGCTTGTTCTGGTAGCAGGTAAGGCTTTATACGTTCCGATATTATCTTTAATATGACCTTGCTATTGTTCTATAGTGGTTACATATATATTTTGGTCCTTTCTTGTGTGCATATATACCTACTGACTTCCCCAGTCATCCGGGATTTTGGATTCTACAACCATCTGGATCCATTTTTGATTCTACAACCGCATAACAATCCCTTGCATAGTAGTCCCACATGACCCTGAATGACACCCTGAATACCAGACAACCAACTTTAATACATAAATTGGAAAATTATGTTCGAGAATCGTCTACTTTCGGTCACTTTGAGATACCAGTTAATTTCGTTTTTTAATTTTATCCTATTGTACCATATTGTTATTATTATTGATTTATGCTGTGGTTTATTTCAGATGAGTTATGGAGTGAAGGTTTCTGTATCGACATGACCATCGACACAAACGTCGACCCATTACAGGAAATGTCTACGATGATTTCAATTGCCACTCCTATCAGAAATGCAGCTACACACTCGACTGCCAAAGGACTTACAAATCGTCCTGGGCAGAATAATTGTTTCCTCAACAGTTCCATTCAAGTAAGTTATGTGACTTGGATTGTAAAATTGTGGATTGGTGTTGTCTGCACAGCAGAACTTTTGTTGAGCAAAAACGTAATTAGCCGTTATGTCATTTGCCACGTTAAAACAGTATTTAATAGCTTTGTTGAAAGGTTGTATGTTATTGTGTTAATATCTTTTAGTAGTACTGTGCCATCAAAGGAAATCAAAGTAATTGTGAGTATCCCTTTATAGGGTTTGTATATGTTTCAGTGTCAAATTTCAATTGAATCCAATAAATTTAACTTTAGAAAGCTATCGGGCTATGTGCTTAAACTTTACAAAACTCTTTGATATTGTAGAGATCTGCTTGGAACGAGAGAAACGAGAATTTCTTGGAAAATGAAATTTAGTACACATCTGACAGGGAGGATTCAGTATATTGTTACGTTTTTGGGGTGCCAAAGGTGCCAGTATCTTGCTCTATTTGTAAACAATATTTAATAAACAGAAACCAAATTATAACGAACAATAATCGCAATACTATTTAACCTTGATTCTATAGCTCGTTCACTAATTAGGAAAGTTGTATTATATTTGTATATATGACGGTTTATAGCGTTTGTCTTCGCTGTCTGACCTCTAGACTTTTCGTCCATGGTGCACGATTGAAACAGTCTGCAACCGTAAGGTTTTTCTCTCTCATAGCTTTTTTTATGCTTGCGCCCCACGTACTCCTAGGCCTCCCTCTTCTTCGTTCGGTAGGCACCCATTCCATTGCTATTTTTGGTAGTCTTCCTTCGGGCATTCGTTGGACATGTCCGTACTATATCAGTTGCCTTTTCTTGATGTCCTCAAGTATTTTTTCCTTGATATTGGTCATTTGCGATATACTCTCATCCGTTATGTGCTGTAATCTCGAGATTCAGCAAAACCTTTTCAGGACATCCATTTCAAGAAATCGTATTTTGTCCTTGTCGGCTTCAGTTAACTTTCATGTTTCCGCTCCATACTGTTGCACATGTTGAACTGTATGCTGTTCACTATTGTATTGTTTATATTGATCTTTGTTTTTTCTTGAAATGTCGTTATTTAATAGCTCGTCTTCCTTGTTTTAAACGTCCTTTTATTTCAAGGGATCATTTTTCTTCGCTGTTCAATTCTATTCCGAAATATTTGTATTTGCCACATTTCATGATTGTATCGTCTGCGATTTTCAAACCACTTTCTGCCTCCTGCCCTTCGCGTTTCCTCTCAATTGCGTCTCTAATAATAAATAATAATAAATATTCTACCTTACAATCGGCTAAATGTGGATGTTAGCGCCTCTATTCTCCCTATCTCCTTTTTTGGAAATTTATGACATAAAACCGGTTTTCTATTTTTCTGAGACCGGTTCGTCGTTTATGCATTTAACAAATAGTTGATTAATCGTGTTAAACAGCTTTTCTGTCCCGTTTTATAAGTTTTAGCTTTAATGCAGCCTGGAACTCTTGTCTTGCCGTTCTTTAATATTTTTATCTATAAATTCCGTTTAATTGTCTCTTGATTTATAAATTCTGGTCTATCCTCGGTAAGTAGTTTTTTGTAGTATATCGCTTCCATTTATCAACAGAAATAAGTTGAAAGTTGCTGCTTTTCTCATATCTGACATTTTCTATGAATCTTTAGGCTTCGTTACATGTTCTACCACCAAGATACATATCAATTTCACTACCGTTTTCACTCCAGCTGTTTTCTTTTTGATGTCTTTGTTGTTCTATTTAAAAATACGCTTTGATCTTGCTTCGCTTTTCTGAGACACTCTGTATCATATAAGATATTTTTAAAATGTGCGCACATTGTGCGTGAACAACTTTCATATGAAACTATTTTTCGAAAGTTCAACACCATCGGAAATAATGGACTCTATCGCACTAAAAAACCACCCTGTATGCAAGTAATTTAAAAGGGAGATATTATTATGTGCCAGCAGAGTTTTCGTCATTTGTGTTTCAAGAATAAGAGAGTTTATTGTGACGTGTGAATACGACAAATCTACCAGTGAAATGAGTTAAGCTAAAAATATTATTATGTTTATCATTAGAATTATTAACTGGCATGTTACCAAACTGTTCCTCTCGCTGAAAATATCTTCACTACAGAAAAAACTACTTTTTTTACAAAAATGTGATCTACTGCTACTTAAAATTACTGCTTAAGGAATAATTATTGCTTGAATAATAGTTTTTTATTTATTAACTGATTCGCTATCAAAATCAAGCCAGTATGTCCGTTTTAACAGAAAACACACATGTTTGTAATACTCTATAAATATATGGCGTTCAGACGAAACATATATGTATTTGATAATGTAAACTATCGAAAATGGAATGTGTATACATTATAGTGGCGATGACGTGTGCCATATGTGATAAATCTATCTATTTGGTTTTCGATATTACTTATAGGCGTAAAACTTCCTAAAATTTTTTATTGATTCTATTCCTAATTTAGCGATCGAGATAAACAAAATCTTTTTTTTGTCGTTTATCGAACTTTCGTCTATTTATGATCGAAACCATATTGCTTTAAAAAATTAAACGCAAAATTGGATATGACCATGATGATGAGATCATGTTTAGCTTAATTTTAAACTTAAGTAGGTACTTATTTGTGGATTTGGCGACTTAAGCGAAATTGAAAATTTTTAATTAAAAAGTATTTTGATCTAAATAATTTTTTGGTCTAAAAAATATAATTTTGATCTAAAAATAATTACTTCAATTTAATAATTTAATATGTAAAAAGTCTGGTTTATTTAAATTTCAAAAAAGGAATAAAATGAAGAATATAAATACATTGCCTTACAGGAAAGCATAATTAGCATATTACGACTACACTCTCATTGGCGAATCTCGTTGCGTGCTACAAGTGCACTAAGCAGGTTAAAGTTCATGTAGTACTTCGTGTTTACATTTTAATAATTAGCAGATCAGACATGCTAATAACATAGCAAAAACAGTGCGATCTTTCAGAGCTCGCCATTAAATAAGAGCTACTGGAATTAAATTTTTGAATAAGCCAAGTTGGAATAGGCCTTAAGTAATTTTTAACCTGTAAATACGAGGATTCAAACGCCAACCCTCGGATTATGTTCAAATCACTTAAAATTAAGTGAATAGTTCTTTAAATATATGTTGGAGCACACCCGGTTCCATAATGCCCTAGAATATTTCGAAAATCATTTTTGTTTTTTTTTTCAATTTTGTTAAAGAATTTGCTAATTTTTTGTCTTCGACAGTAGAGTAGTACAGTTGTAACGTAATAAACAATTAGAATCTTTGCTTTTATTTAGGAATTAGTTTATTCCAACATAATGTTATAATTGTTGATATAAAAAAAAACCGTTTCCAGTTCAAGCTTCAAAAATCCAATTTAAAAATCAAAGATTTTAAATTAATAACAATAAAAGTCGACAAAACAAAATGTAAAGAGGGATTTTGGAGGATTACTTGAATGCAACAATAATAATGAACTTTTTGAAACTGATTATTCGTTCTTTCTTCTTTGATTATCTCCCGCTTTTCATAAATAAGCCTTTTCTCGTTATCGATTTTAAAAAATTCAATTATTAATTACACTTCTGGTTTCGATTTAACTATTGGGTCGTACCGCTCAAAATACATGTACGATTCTACGTGACGTGGAAAACGAATATTAAAATTGTTGAGAAATCAAGTAGAATTTGTTTGGTCGTCTTCAGGGTGGCAACATGTGCGCATAAATTTGCGTATAAATTAAAACTTTATCATTATACGAGACGCCAATTGCTAACGGTTAACGGCGCATAAAAAACAATTATTTGGCTTTTGCGCAGGGGGAATCCAGATTTCGAGTCAGGGGGGGGGGGTCAAGTAGTAGAAATTCAGTCTTTTGCTGTCTATCAAATTAGAAAAATTATCGTTAGTCGACATAAACCCAGCACAAGGGAGGGTGCTGACCATGACCCCCTTGGATCCGCCCTTGTTTATGCGATTGGAAAATCGCTAATTATAAACTATCCTGCTGATCTAAATCAGACGTAAGTAAGGCGAATGCTGTAATTCTCATTTTCACCATGACCTCGTATCATACCATAGAAGGTAATGTCTAAGTTCCGACTTCCGAATGATGAGACTCAAATTTGATGCACTTTCTGTTAACGGTGAAGACTCTACATGTGCTCACGAAGGCTTTTTGTTTAGTGTTTTAAGTCATTTAGCGTCGCCTACGTAAACCTGCTTCCATTTATTTAACAAATTTCATGCTACTCGAGAAATTATAAGAGTTATGAAAGATTCCTTACTGATCTAGTCTAAAATTTTCTTACTGATGTATATATTAATTACTTAATACACACTTACAGAGTGTGAAGCGCAAAAAAACCCACATTATACGTCACGAAATAAGCTAGTAAATATGTCGAGATGTATTTAAATGCGTAAAACCACTTAAGAAATAAAGATAACACACTTAGTTTAAGGTAGACCTATAAGTTTAAAAGGACATTGTTCCGCTAAAATTGCAATTATTTTTCGGACACCCGTTGTGGATGAATTGATAATTTAGAGATTGAACCCGTACAAGAAGGTTGGAATAAATCTACAAATATCCGTATGTTTGACTAGTTTCTGCATGATCGCCTAACATATTTGTCAAATAATTTTTGGAATTTTAAAAAGTTAGCTTGTCAAGTCATTTCAATATCATCATTCCTCTTCACAAGCAAATCTTTAATTACTACTTATAGACCGTATTGTATTTTATCACGTTGATTAATAGTCCGGTCTGAATAATAATAACTGAGAAAGCTCGGTATTTCCCACGCACGGTTTAAATCACACAATTTCTTTGAATGGGGTCTTAATTAAATCAATTTGCAGTGGGAACGTATCAACCTGTTCGTAGCTTCAGTTTCTAATCTACTTTGATTCAAGGAAATCTTATTACAAAATCACAGACGGTGAAGCTATGCTCTATGGACAACAATTAGTAAATAAGAAGTATCTTTGTCCAAAATCGATGTCGATGTGTAGGCGATTGTATACAACAGAGTTGAATGAGTTCATCGGTTTTTACAAAACTTTGCAGACTTTTTATTGATATGTTTTAATGCACATATGAACATGTGTCTGCTATCCATCGATGAATGCTGAACTTCTAGATACGATGTGTTAAGAATCAACATCAACTTTTTTGCACCAGATTGCTTCTAAATCATCCAAATTTAGGTAAAAAATAAATTAACGTAGGTCGATTTTGACCGTTAAGGATCATGTCTAACACAGTAAATTTTATGAACACAAAACGGGGACTTAAATTAAATATCAAGTAAATCTAAATGTGCATATTTAAGGCCAGTCACTTTATTTGCCCGAAATAATTAATACATAGGTCATGTTGTAACGCTACAAGATGTTAATAGACTTGTTATAAAATTACCTTATTTTGCTTTTATTTATATTTGAAAATATAGTAAGCTTTTAAAGCCGATACCAATAAATATAAACATTTTTGAAAGAGTAAATACTGTTAATAACTTGTGAAAATTCTGGATACTAAAGAGTTTTATCAGACTATGAAGGCTTTCACGGCCGGTCAGATCACATTTAGGAATGTTTTCCGGGCTTTGAAGCCGTGGTCTATCGCAATTTCTTCCTGACGTTTCGTCCACAACTGCGGAAATGATTGAAAATGTCTACCGCAGTTGTGGACGAAACGTCAGGAAGAAATCCGATAGACCACGGCTTCAAAGCCCGGAAAACATTCCTAAATGTGACTAAAGAGTTTGATTCCAAAACTATCAAGCTTGGAGATAATTGCAAGATTGTATAGTTTTTTGCACGTTGTAAAATATGCGTAAATATTTTTAAAACTTAGTATTGTTTGTAGGTATTCATGTCAAACAGAATTAATTAATGTTGTTGATTATCTTTGTGGGTGAGGTTTGATAATATAATGTAGGTTTAACAAGTAATTCCTCGTGTTGTTTTAACGCCTTCAAACAGCGTTAGATGGTTACATTTCTTTAGCAAAAGCATACTGAAATAATCGACCATTTTGTATCCAACTAATGACATGAGTCATTACTTCCTTTTTCCCAAGATGTGTGTAAGCAACTTCAACGTACCGAAAATAAAACCAGATGGCGCATTTCCTCCTATTGTGTTTTCTTTGACCTGTGGGAAGTGCGCGATTTACATTTATAAGGCTAAAATTTAAGGAACCTTTTTTTCTTTAAGATAATGTTTGACTACTGTGGCAACTCATTCTGTTCGTTACAAAGTACTGGGAGCATTCATTGGGTAACATGCTGCTGATTTGTTGTTAGGTTGAAAAAATTAATATAACATCTGAAGTATGAGCGCAACATCGTTTAAGAATCTGTTATTAGCCCATCGTCATTTGGGCGTTTTGCAGTAGTATATGTAATAATTTTATTCGGCTAAGCACCACAGCATGGGTTTGGCTTGTCGAGGTTTTATATAATTATAGCATTAAACTTAGGATACTACAACTACCAATATAACAGTTAGTTGAAAAAGTTGATAGATTCGTTTTGGACGAAGCATCTAAGATTTTACAAGAATAGTGGAACTAAAGTGGGTAACCAGTTCGCAAAAAACACTATTTTTCTTAAGCGAACGTTTCAACTTGTGTCTATTATCAGTGCTCTCAAATAAAAAAGTTACAATCTGAGTACCGAAAAAAAGCAAATTAAAATTAACGAAAAGAACAAATATAATTTGATCACACTAAAGTGACTATTTGATTAAATTAACAATCTTACTACCGAACATTAACGTATAATTGGAGAGACGCCTTTTCCAACTCATCTTCTCACCAAGAATATTTCCTTCAACACATGGGTG